ATGTGAACCCGGAAGCGACATTTTCCAGGACGCTGGTTTTACCTAAACGGTAGCCTTTAATTATCGGGAGGGATTGCAAAATGGCGGAGCTTCCATTTCCTCAGCTCACTCGGTTATTTCCCTTCCCTTCCATATTCTGTTTTAATCTCATTCCTGTTCCGTTTTATTGTTTTATTTTATTACTTCTTCGTTTTTTTTAAATTTTATTTTATTTCATTGGACTTGTATCCGGGACTTGTGCAGTGACCTAGAGGTGGCGCTCTCGCCCTCCCAATCAGGAAGCTATGAGTTCAACCCTAGGTAGAGGCAGATATTTCGCTCTCTGGGCACACAGAATATATCTGCTGCGAACTCTGCATTGGCGACAGGGAGGGCATCCGGCCAGTAAACACTCAGTTCCATTCGGTTGCCCCGACTCCACCCCAATACAAGGGATTACGGGGGGTCATTAAAAGACCAATAATAATAATAATAATAATAATAATAATAATAATAATAATAATAATAATAATTGTATTTGTATCCTGCCTTTGGCCAAACCACATCCAGAGCAGGAGGCCGCCCTCAATGCTGCACACTCGCCGACCCGCAACTCATAACCGCTGTTTTTATTTTCCACAGAGCCCCCTGGCCCGATCGACAACACCAAAATCGCTGTGGCCAAAGGAAGCGGCCACATGCAAGTCAAACAGGGTAAGTACGGAAAGGGAACACCGGCTTGTCCACCAGCCCACCTGTCTCCCATCGGGCCAGTCCAAGAGCGGAGAAAACCCAGCCTGCCTTTGATCGGTGCTTGAGGTCTTGAGTCTTTTCCCAGGAGCCGATTATGGGCAGATCTCGGAGGAGACCTGGATTTACTTGAGCACGCTCTACGGCGGAGGCCCCGAGATCGCCATCCGGCAAAACGTGGCCCAGGTGCAGGAGGTGGAGAGCCTCCACGGGGAGCAGAAGATCGAAGCCGAGACCAGGGCTGTTTAAAACGAGGGACGCATTCAGGTAAGTCTGTCTGGAGCAGGGGTCGCCCAACCTTTTGGGCCTCCGGGACCACCAAACTCATCATTTTAAATCCCGCGGACCAGAGGCCCCTGGGGAAATCCCCCCGAAAAAGGCTTGCAGGAAAATTCCCCGCCCCCGTTTTCCTACCGATTGATCGTTCTTTATTTGGGATCGCAGGATCCTGTCTCCAGCTCCGTTCTCAGGGGGAAAAAGAGAGACTTTTGGCTCCGTGCAAGGAAAACAGCAGAAGCAGCAGAAGTCTTTCTTTCTCTCCCCCAAACTCCGCCAGAAATGAGTCCTTGTGAGACTTGTCACCTTGTGAGACATCCTCTTGCCTTTATTATCTACACCACAGGAATGCTGCAGCTGTCGTAAAACGGGTCCTGAGCCATGTTTTTCAGGTGCTGTTGCAGCTTCGGGTGGTCACTAAATGAACAGCTTGTTCGCTTAAAAAAACTACGTTGCAAAATTAGCAGCCGCAGTGATTCACTTAACAGCGGTGGCAAGGACCGTCATAAAACGGGGCAAAAGTCGCTTAACGACCGCGCCCCTTAGCAACAGAAATGTCGGACTCGGTGGTGGTAGTAAGTGGTGGTAGTAGTGGTTGTGGCGGTAGTGTTAATTGTTCTTGACTTTTCCTTCCTTCCTTCCTTCCTTCCTTCCTTCCT